ACCACCAATTTTTTTTATATCCGAGGTGGTACTAAATTTTTATGGTCCAACTGCTAGAAAAGAAAAAAAAGATAGTTCTGTCCTGAATTTCGTACGTCGGCCGCACGCACTAAGGCCCAGAGAAGCCACCCATTTACATCCACCCCACGCAGCTGGGAAACCTTATTTGTCGCGCTGAGCGGTATATATGGAGTTTCGCATCTGTCGCCTACCATGGGCCGGCCCATGTCCGTTTCTTTCGTTTTCTTTTTCTACTATTTTTTTCTTGTTCCCTTCCAAGTTATTTTATCCTTTTTACCATAAATTTATTTTTTATATTTTTTTTCAGAAGTTAGATTTTTACAAAAGTTCTTTAAGTCTTCCTAATTTCATTTTTTACAATTTTGAAAAATATTTGGAACTTTAAATTTCTATCTCGTACCAAAATTGTCCTATATTAAAAAAATTAGTAGGTATAGAAAACCATTGTTCTAATTTTTCTTATTGGTACCTCTAATTTTGGTACCATTTTTGAAAATGGATGAAATACCTCTGATTGTTTCATCCATTTATCACCAAAAATACTTTTTTATATCCGAGGTTGTTCTAATTTTTTGTGGTCCATCTGCTACAAAAAAAAGTTTTGTACAGAATTTCGTACGTGGGCCGCAAGCGCTAAGGCCCAGAGAATCCACGCATTTATATCCTGCCCATGCAGTTGGGAAACTTATTTGTCGCCCTCAGCGGCATATAGTGGGAATTACGCATCTGCCGCCCAACGTTGGTCCGGCCCATGTACGTTTTTACTGTGTTCTTTTTCTACTTTTGTTTTTCTTTTTTCCCCTCCAACTTATTTTTTCCTATTCCCATAAATTTACTTTTTTGTTTTTTCAGAATTTCGATTTTCGTACAAATGTTCGTTTAATCTATAGAATTTAAAATTTTGTCCCCATTTTCAAAAATATTTGGAACTTTCAATTTTTATTGTCGTTCCATATTTGTTTGAAATTCAAATAATGTTCGCATTTTTTCAAAAGAATTCCAAAATCGTTCGTGAATTTGTATTAAATTGAATTTTTTAAATAGTTGTAATTGGAAAATACTCCTTTTTATTGAAATGTTCACAAATTGAAAATAATGTTCGTGATTAAAAACAAAATTTTGAAAATGGTTTTAAATGTTCAAAACAAGTTTCCATTTGCAGAAATTGTTCATAAATTCAAAAAATGTTCATTTCTCCGCCTTAAAAATGGTTTCTATTTTCAAAAAATATTTGTGAATTTTAAAAAATCTTCATATTTCATGTTTTGTTTGTCTTTTTCCATAAATTAAAGTTTTTTAAAAAATGCTCGCATTTTTTATACAAAAATGAGGAGGTCACCACAACCTCGACAAGGAGGCGGACCTGAAGAAAAAAAGGCACGAGTTGGATAGTGGCCGCCACTCCTACCAACCCCACTACTATAAAGATCTCGTGGGCCAAACATGACCCGCGAGAACACTACAACTCTCCGCTCTGTCGCACCACTGTTGTGGAGACCGTTTTGATAGACACATCAATTATCTCTCATGTTGCTTCTCATAAAAAAATTTCTCCCGTTGCAACGCACGGGTATATATGCTAGTATAATATCAAGAAAACAAAAGTCAGTACAATGAACACACAACTAGACACAACATGACCAGCAAAAATTATAATATATTAAAAATTATAATAGCCTTCTTCTTCCTTTAATTGTATGCGATCCGACGGAGGTTCAAAATTGCACTGAACTAATAGTAAAGGAAAAAAGACACCTACAAACGCCATCAGTATGCCAAGCTTTGACAATGGCAATAGTCAATTGCCCCTTGAGACGATAAATATAAATCGTTGAAGTAAGATGTATTAAAGCATCATTTCATGTAGTAGAGGCTTACAATCCATCACTATCAGTTCAGATGGCATCTCACAAATTATTACCATATCAAATTTTTAGCACTAGACCCAAAAGTAGTCTCAAGTTCACACATTACAAGAAATTGTCTCAAGCAGTCTAGCACCTCACCAAATCTAACCCAAAAAGTATTCAACTTCCCAATAGTGTGATTCCCATGAGACCACTTGGAAACCTTGATCACAGCTCCAATACCAAGCAAATTAAACTTGTCAAAAATGGTTACTTTCCCCAACTTGACCATACTAGGGAATCTCATAACAAAATCCTTTCTACCCTGTTGCTTTGCTCTCCACCGTCAATTTCAACTAAACATTTTGTTGAACCCTTGCAGAAATTGTGTCTCATTAATCTTACCAGAAGTAACTTCAATTAAAGCCAAAGGATTGGCATGCTTGGTGTTGTTAATCTCCTTAGTGTTCTGTATAAGCAGGCACCCTAGACCTTTAGCAGCAAAACCAACATACTTAGCAACATGTTTGATCTGCTTAAGACAACCACAATCTTCAGTTAGGTGTGACTCTTGTCCACGCAGGATACAATAAACATATTTTATGCAGTCCTTGTTGATATGCCCGCCTTCCTTTCATTTGAAGCAAAACAATCTCTGTCCACCAGTACCTCCTTCACCTCCACTCTTAGGTCCAGGTTTTTTACCCTTCAATCTGATTAAGAACTTGATGGCCACCAATTATAATAAATTGGAATTTTCCACTGGTACCAACCCCACTATCACCTAGCTCCTGTCTCATCCCCCGATTTGGTCAGGGAGTCATGACCTAGAATTGGCGGTCGGCATCATATGTGCCAGAGTTCAAGCCCGGCAATCGAGAATAACCCTTGCCACTTATGACAAGAATTCTTTTGGCGTCTATCTGAAGGAAATATGCCCTAGAGGCAATAATAAAGTTATTATTTATTTCCTTATATCATGATAAATGTTTATTATTCATGCTAGAATTGTATTAACCGGAAACATAATACATGTGTGAATACATAGACAAACAGAGTGTCACTAGTATGCCTCTACTAGACTAGCTCGTTAATCAAAGATGGTTATGTTTCCTAACCATGAACAAAGAGTTGTTGTTTGATTAACGGGATCACATCATTAGGTGAATGATCTGATTGACATGACCCATTCCATTAGCTTAGCACTCGATCGTTTAGTATGTTGCTATTGCTTTCTTCATGACTCATACATGTTCCTATGACTATGAGATTATGCAACTCCCGTCTGCCGGAGGAACACTTTGTGTGCTACCAAACGTCACAACGTAACTAGGTGATTATAAAGGTGCTCTATAGGTGTCTCCAAACGTAGATGTTGGGTTGGCGTATTTCGAGATTAGGATTTGTCACTCCGATTGTCGGAGAGGTATCTCTGGGCCCTCTCGGTAATGCACATCACATAAGCCTTGCAAGCATTGCAACTAATGAGTTAGTTGTGAGATGATGTATTACGAAACGAGTAAAGAGACTTGCCGGTAACGAGATTGAACTAGGTATTGAGATACCGACGATCGAATCTCGGGCAAGTAACATACCGATGACAAAGGGAACAACGTATGTTGTTATGCGGTCTGACCGATAAAAGATCTTCGTAGAATATGTAGGAGCCAATATGAGCATCCAGGTTCCGCTATTGGTTATTGACTGGAGACATGTCTCGGTCATGTCTACATTGTTCTCGAACCCGTAGGGTCCGCACGCTTAAGGTTTCGATGACAGTTATATTATGAGTTTATGAGTTTTGATGTACCGAAGTTTGTTCGGAGTCCCGGATGTGATCACGGACATGACGAGGAGTCTCGAAATGGTTGAGACATAAAGATTGATATATTGGAAGCCTATATTTGGATATCGAAAGTGTTCTGGGTGAAATCGGGATTTTACCGGAGTACCGGGAGGTTACCGGAACCCCCCGGGAGGTATATGGGCCTTAGTGGGCTTTAGTGGAAGAGAGGAGAGGTGGCCAGGGCTGGGCCGCGCGCCCCTCCCCCCTAGTCCGAATAGGACAAGGAGAGGGGGCCGGCGCCCCCCTTCCTTCTCTCTCTCCTCTTTCCCCCCTCCCGAATCCTATTCCAACTAGGAAAGGGGGGGAATCCTACTCCCGGAGGGAGTAGGAC